GAAGAAAACACAACGACAACTGACAGCAACAAAGCGCAGGCTGGAGGTTTTGGAGGGGGGGTGCATATGTTATGTGTATATATATATATATGTATGTATGCATGGCCACCCCCCCATTATCCATTATCTTCCTTTGCTGTGTCAATTCCTTCCACTAAACAAAGCCGGGCAGCATGTCCTCCAAGTGCGCCTTCTCGCTGATCAGCTCGAGATTCTTCAGCGCTTCCAGGGTGTCCTCTCCTGCCGCGTGGCGACCCAAATGGCTGGCTCTCGGCACTCAAGTGGCCGTGGGTCAAAATTCCGTACGGCCAGTGAACAATCCCCGCGAAAATAGACTAAAATGGGTGGTGGATCTACCCCAAAATGGCACCATTGGTTTTGACCCAAGGCCAAATGAGAAGTTCCCAAACCCATCCTGTTGGTTCTTCAAATTTGTTGTAAAGGCCTCTATCGTACTATAACCCCTATGACACCAGGTGGGAGCAAACACCGCCAAAACGAGCAATGGGGGTGATCGCTAAATCAGTAATGAGTAATGCCAGTCTAAACTCTGGACCACTACCATAATCCTCCCAAAAGGTATAAAGGCCAACTCAGGGTGAGTAGCAAGTGTTTGCTTGGGGCTTAACAAGGGTGAACTTGCAAAAGTTATATACTTGGGGAGGGGGGTAAGCATGATGAAGGGGGCAAACAATTACTCTCACAGGATGACGGCTGATTTGTTCTACTGGTTGGTACCGGGTTGTCCAAATTTTTAACCCCAGATCCAATCAAAAAACCTGAGGCAGCTAAGGTCCCTCTTCTTTGGAAGAAGTCCAAACTCTGTAGAGGTAAGAACTCCCACTGGTGTGGGCGGGCGGGGCAAGAAGTCTCACCAGCCTTCAGCCAAAATGGCATCGAAGGCAAGGTGAACCCACCCACATCTCCCCTCTCACTCCAAAGATTGTTACATTCACAACAAGCTGTTCCAATCAACAATCCTTCCGCATGTGAGAGCGCGGCGGCAAGCGAGGCGGGGCACAATTTTGTATCAATTGGCAAAACGAGTCACCTCTGCAGCTAAGGTCCCTCTTGTTTGGAAGAAGTCCAAACTCTGCAGAGGTAAGAACTCCCCACTTGAGTCGGCTTGCCAATTCACCCCACTTGCGAAGCGCAAGAAGACTCGCTTGAAGATGACGAACTGGAGGACTCGTCACCTGACTCCGCGCGCGCAGAAGACTGAGAAGGCTTGAAACACTTGGCACACCGAATCTTACCCTCGCCAAGTGTTGACGAAATCAGGTAGTCGGCGCTGTACCGAGCGAAATACCAGAAGCACGTAGTACGCCAAGCGTGATGCGGGAGGGTCCCCCCACTGCAGGCAATCACGTGAACTTTCCCAGCAGGCGATCGATTGAGCACGTACTTGGGCTCTGGCAGAGGCACGCTCGGCGCGAGGGGAGCTGCAGCAGAGCAATCGGCTAAAGTGGCCACAGTCTGGGACTGAATGCCAGACTTTGCACGCCAGGCCTTTGCAGCCCGAAGGGAGGACTGCAAGGAAGCTTCCTGAGCTAGATGGGTCAGCTGCGAGAGCGGAGCATCACGGATATACTGGCGGAAGACCTCTGAACCCCACCTCCCAAACAGCTGAATGCGCCATAGCTCTGTGTGGTTCTGTGCCAGCACTGCGCCCGAGGCGCGCGCTGAATCCGGTGTACTTCCTGGCTCCCGAAGGGAAAGTCAAGGGAAGACCAAGACAGTGGACCAACTGCTGAAACGTGTTTGCCCACCCTGCTTTTGTTGGTTGGTTTCCCGTCAGTGTGGGGAAAAGCCAGCCAGAGCCTTGTTCCCTTGCCCAGTTGACCTGCTGCTCCATGAGATGAAATGGACAATGCGGCGCTGGGCCGTCTTGGCAACAACATGAGTGAGTGCGTGTGGCCCCCAGAGCTTGCCAGTCCGTCTTGCTTGAAGGTAGGCGCCAGTGCACAAAACAGGCAAGCGAATCCACGGTGATGTGATTGACCTTGGCATTGCTGGCCTCGATCTCTCTCAAAAGCCACCAGGACGCGAGCAAAGTTGACCTGACTGAGTGCGCTGGGCCGTCTGGAACAGCTGGGTTTGGCGTCATCGCCAGCTGTGCCACTTCAAGCAAAGGCAAAGGCTGGGCTTGCTTGGCTGGGCCCCGGTTGTGCTGGCACGCTCGCCGAGCTTGGCAGGTTGCCAACGTCAGCTGTACTGACCACGGGTGGCCTAGTTCCAGATGCTCTTGCTTTGCCGCATCCATGTAAGTTTCTGCTGATCGAAAGCCTGCTTTGTCCAAAGCCCCCATGACTGCGAAGATCATGGTTGGAGTCAGACAGTAGGGGTTTGTGTGTCCAGCTGCTGCTGCCAGCTTCGCCCACCCTTTCAGCTTTGAAGCATGAGGGCCCTGCGCAGTAGTGGCCCTGGCTCTTTTTTGAATGTGTGACACGCAATCATCCGGATTTGCCTGGACGTGACGCAGAGCTTCTTCCAGAGAACCACGTTGGTAGGGCTTGGCCTGCTCTGATGAACCCACCCTTGCTCTGGCAGGTTTCACCAGCAGGTCCGCGGACTGCGCGGGCCCTTCCCGAAGAGGAAGGAGGCCTGAAATTTGCCCAGGCGGATTTGGCTCTGGGAGCCATCTGGCAGGCCCCACGCTCCGTTTCATGAGTCTTGAGCCTGAGCTGCTGTGTTCAGCCAGCAGACTCCGGGGCCAAGAAACGAGCAGGCGCACCATGGCAACCCCACCTACGAAAACTCGAGGCGATTTAAGCGCAACCCAAAACACACGCAATTATCTCAGCGCAAACTGTTCCGTGGCCTCTCTCAACAAAGCGTCCCCTGCCCCAAAGCCGCGGCGCTCTTTCACCCTTCCGAGACCGAATTCCGATCTGTGGAAGTTTCCAAAAATCAGCGGATACTGAAATAGGAACCCTACGAGCCCGGCCTATCATATCAGATGGAAACGGCGGAGGATCAGGGTCGTGTTGTCTGCTGAGGCAGTCTTGTTGAGTTTCGTGTTGAGATGTTCTAGTAGCGTGAACTCATACAGGCCTCTTGCTTGGTCTAATGCAATCTCCCTGGCTACCATGGAAAGCTCGGGGCCAGAACCCTTTCCCCTTGCCAAGAGGTGCAACGCAGCAATGTTGTCAGCCTTGACTCTCACAATTGCCCCAAGGGGAAACTGTACCAATCATAGTCTGGCAGCGATAAGTAGGCAAAGGGATTCCCAAAGAGCCATGTGCTTCGGCAGGCCAGGGAGCGCGTGAGTGTGCAGCACAAACTCTGGAGGAATGGGACACGAGAAAAACTCCGCGATGGTTCCGTGGACAATGAGGATGCCTCCTAGACCCCAAGTAGAAGCGTCAGTGATGACTATAGCCCCCGTGTTTGGCCTGAAAGCCCGCACAATCCGCACGAAGGGTACTGCTTTTCCTCCCAGCAAATGGCGAATCCATTCGAGCGCTGGCTCAATACGTCTGGTGTGCACGACACATCTGGCCGAAGGACCGTCATTCGTCGTTGCAAGCGCAGACCATAAGCTACTCAAGAATGGTCGCATTAGTGGGACCAGTCCTGCAACAAAAGAAAGTGCCCCAGTTAGCGACTGGAGTTGGCGTCTCCCGACAACTGGTCTTCTCAGGAGTTGCGTGATCCTATCACACAGCTCGCCTACCTTGTCTCCAGAAATGGTGACGATGATTGCTTTAGCGTCGGGGTCCACTTTGAGAAGGGCGCCAATCCATTTGACCTCCGAGCCTGATGATGTCTTCTCAAGCTTTATGGGGAATCCAGCCACGTAAGCCCAAAGTAGCGAAACGCCCAAGAGCGTGCGATGTTCCGGGTTGTCCGGGTCAAAAGTAAACAGTGGGTCATCAACGTAAACCTGACCTCGGACCGCGGGGTTGATGGCCGCGTGGGAACGGCCCAACAGCGCCGCAAATCTTCCCCAAACTGTTGGGCTGGACATGCAGCCGAACACAAGAACATCGTAAACCAAGATTCTGAGTTGACCGTTGTGCTCAAAGGCGGCTGCTGTAAAAGCTTTGTCGGCCCCTATGGGCACATTATGAAAGGCATTTGATGTCGATCGCCAAAAAGCTTGGGGTGCCTCCTTGACGGAAAATATGGAGGGCGTCCTCAATGGCATCTTTCAGCTTTGGTAGGATGATCCGCTCCCCTTGGTTGCACAACTTGTTGACGCCCGATTCCCGGAGGTCCCAAATTATCCTGGCTTTCCTTACTTCGCCCTGTTCTTTGACAAGTAACCCCAGCTTGTTCAGCACCAACTCCCTGCCAACAGCTAACTCGGCCTCTGCGAGTGAATTGTAGAGAGAGCAAAAGCCCTTGTTGATCGCGTCTTGAACTAGAGTTTGCAAGTCAGCACTATACTGGGATGCTGAGGGATGGTTGGCCCACCCTTGAATAGATCTTGCAAGACCACAGGCAGCCTCGTCTTCCCAACGCTGGGCTTTCACAGAAGGAAAAATTCCGTTGGTGGGAATGGGCGAGGCAAAGCCTAGTGACGCCAATGTTTCGGCATCCGGATCACCTGAAAGCTGCCCCCACGCCCAAATGACATCAGCACTCAATGGCGTGTTGACATCAGCACTCAATGGCGTGTTTGCCTTGGCTGTGCGAATAAAGGGGCAACTCTTCCCCCCCGTCAAGACTTTGAGGGAGAGGTCCCTAAGAGTGGAAACAAACTGTTCATCGAGTGGCTCAGCTTTCTGGGAGGACAGCATACAATCCACCAAACGGGTCGCCGAAGGGAACGCCGCCGCGTCGTACAATAGGGAAAATATTGCAGATCCAACTGTAGCAGCAATGGGAATATTAGCAGATGCGTCGAGGGGGTTCCTCATTCCACCAATGGCAAGTTTGTTTTCGATATCCCGTGTCCGCTCCACTGATCCCAGCGGCGGCGGGCTTCAGTGACTGGTTCCCGATCGTAGCTTGGCTACTCGGTGCCCGTCCGTGGCAAGCATGCCCTTGGCAATGCGCTTGTTGAGCTCTGCTGGATACTCCGCCAAAGTCTGCGAGACCCTTTGGCGTTTGCCTGCGGAGGTTTCTCTCCAGCTTTGCCCGAAAGAATCATGCTTTGCATAATATTTGGAACCGTCTACACCGCAAGCCCATGACGTCCATGAAATCATGACCATACTCCGCTAGCTTGGTGGGCCTGGTGACCTCCGCTCCAAATCGGCATTGGTCGAACTTTGCCGTGGTGACCAGGGCATTCTTCAGCAAGGGCTGCAGCCACGACGTCTTCCAAATATCCAGCTTCTCGCCGCGGTCAGGGTTCTCTATCCAGAAAGCGCGCAAATGGTTTAGCTGCTCTTGCGCCACTGCGGCTGTCAACTCCACAAGACTGTTTGCATCTTTCAGTTGATCCTTTCGGTGTCTGCCCGAGAAGAGCAGCAGCGCCCTTGGCTGGCCTGCCCATTGCTGCGGGTCGATGTTGGTCGCCCCGTATCGGAAGGCTGTCCATGACTGACTCTCGGGCAAGAAGCAGTCACCTGGCGTGGGCTTTGAGCAACCAGGGCCGGGATTCCCCCAATGCCCCAAACGCTCAGAAGCTGCGCCGGCCCCGGAAGTCATCCGACGGGACGGAGGCGGGCCATCAAGTGATTTTGGCCGCCTTGACGGAGGCGGACCATCGGGTGATTTTGGCCGCTTTGCCTTCCATTCCACATCTGGCGCTGTCTCTGCTGTGAGTCTGGGCTCGGCCCCCGACGACGCCGGAGAGGCCTCAGCATTTGTAGGCCTTCTCCTGGGAAGCGGAGATCTCGGAGTAGGCTTGACCTTGGCTGTGGTGAAGATCTTGGCCGGTGACATAGATGCGTCGGGTCCAGCTGTGGGATTGCTTGCCGATGTTATATGGGTTGTCTGGGTAGTCCTCCAGAAGGCCTTTTCAGCAAGGTGGTGGGCACTTCAGCGCATGTCGGATGCTAAGTTTTTTTTAAGGTCCAGGCACCATTGCGGGAAACAGGCGGGGTTTGCATCGGAGGATAAAGATGTTTCTCCATCGGCTGAGTCTTTGGTTTTGCTCAACAAGGCTGGCCTGCGCAGCAAACAGTGCAAAGTGCGAATACGGACCATGATTGATGCCTCGGCTTTCGGGGAAGACTCCCCTTTAAGCTTGCATAAGTGAATGTGTGGCGGTTGTTAGCCGGAGGCCGCCGAAGTTGCAAGACCCTCAGTGTTTGGTGAAGGTGGTTGTACCCCTCACCCAAGTTCAGATCGAGAACCTGTTGAAATTAATAACGGCCTGAGTTGGGAGCAGAATCTTGCAAATTCTTGCATTGCTTGTGTCATGTTGGGCTGGCGTGGCAATTTACAGGCGCCGCTCGCTTCCAAAAGCCGTGCTGCAGCAAGGAATTGGGAATTACTGCAGGCCGCTGGGCGGCGCGCAGGGCAGGCAGGGTACAACCACTCTGCAGGCGCCTGGGGAGGGGGGGGGGCAGGGCGGCTCGAAAATTGCTTTTCCCAAGTCTCAGAAGGCCAGCTTTGCCCATCAATCTTTGACAACTTGAGATGTCGCACGTGCCGACTTGCAAGACAATCAGCTCCACAGTAAGTGAAGGTGGTTGTACCCCTCACTCATACTTCTATTGCGAAACGGTTGCTGGAGAAGGCCAAGACGGCCCTGTCTTAGTTTGGTGGTATGTTGGTATGGCTCGTAGGCACATTTGCTTTAGATGCGCGTTTCCCCCCTGGCCCGCCTGCTGCCCTGGCAGGACTTGAGGAGCAGCTGGCGGATCGAGATCAGGATCTGGTTGGAGGAAAGTGGGCAAGGAGCAGTTTCCGGGCTGTTTTCTTCAAGCACTTTGCTTGCTGTTGCTGGCTGTTTTCACACACACACACGTTTCTCATGTGAGATATGTGTTCTTAACCGAGCATAGGCGCTCACAGTCACATGGAGAGTTTTTTTGGAATGCCCCAACTCCCCCCAACTTACCGACGCCCCCCTCGGTAAATTCGGGGAGCTCCATCGGTCAGCTCGCAAAAGCTATTGGTAAGTTCGAAGGTTGGTGCATTCTTGCTGCATTTCTCGGTCCGAGCGGCGTGCCTCCAGCGGCTGGTTTTCCCAAATTATGGCCCGGGCATCTCGTTTTGTAGCCAAAAAACGCCCTGCAAGGGGAACAGAAGCAGCGGGGCGCCGTGGTTGTACCCGCGCTCCCTGGAACAAAGGGAAGCAACATAGCAAAACAAGCAAGCAACATGTGTTTGTGCCCCGAGACCAGCTAGACCTGTTCTTCGCAGTCGCTTTGTGCTTTGCTGGCCCTGTGTACTGCGCAGTACTGTGGATTGCTCTTGTCACCTCCCGAAGGATCAGTGAAACGCTGCTTCTTAGAACTTCGGATCTCCGTTTGTTGGGCGGGGAAGACCACGACGAGCCACATGTGCTTTTCCAGCAGCGGGCGGAAGACAAAGCGTATAAAGGCAACGGCAAGTTGGGCGCAGAGAGGGTGGTAGCTCGACTTTCAACTGAAGCCATTGAAGGCATGCAGAAGTTGCGATCAGAGGGTTTGGAGTGGGGTGTTCTTCCAGTTTTGGAAGCCTGCAGGCAGTCACACGAAGCGGTCTTCAAGCTAAAGCCGCTCAGGAAAACAACTTTTACCATTCCTGAAACTGGGGGCAACAATTTTCTCTTTCCGGCTATAACGAAAAGAAAGGGCTGCCGGCCCAACATGTCGAGGCAAACAGTTTCCTCAGCCCTTTCGCGCATTCGGGAAGTCATGCACAAGTTGACAAACAGCCGTCGCTGGAACCCATCTGCGCGGTGCCAAGGAAACAGGGTGACAGTGCATGGCGCAACTCGACACACAAGCGCTGCCTTGCTACTTTTCAAAAAAGGCGCTTCCCCGGCAGAAAGGCCATGTGAGCATGTCATTTTGGAAATTCAGCAGCGCTCGGATGCGCGAGTGTTCAGGAAGCATTACTGCCACGCAGATGAAGACGAAGTAAGGGCGGCGCTGGAATTTGGAGCTGCTCCGAGCCCCTTCGGGAAACGAAAAGCTGACGAAATGAACAACAAGAATGGCGTGGCGGCACCCCCGGACCTAAACATTGGGCCTGGCGTGGTGGTACCCCCAAGTCCAAAAGGGGGTTGCCTGGCAGCCCCGCCTCCAACATCTCAAGAGCACCCCTCAGGCCCAAGTCCTTCGCAGAGATCGGCTCCATTGCCACCAGCGCGGCTCCAGGAGCCCGCAGCGCAGGACGGCGCCGCAACACTGCCGCCATCGGCGCTGTCGCAGCCATCCACAGGCAAACATCAGTACTGCAGTCGTAATGCCGGGAGCTCAGCTGTTGATTATGTCGCATGTCATGCCATGTAAAGTGACAGAGTGTGTCGTGGCATGGCCATGATTATGTTGGCTTGTTCTGAGGCATTCCGCAGGGCCAAGCGCAAAGAGAAGCTGAAAGCAGCTGCTGAGAGCAGCGGCATATGACTTGTCTCACATGCTCGTGCAGGAGAAGAAACCACGGACGACGCTGGCTTTAGCGAAAAGACATATCCATATTATATTAATAAACAAATCCTAATGATATTGTGAGGGCTTCTTTCCAAACAGGTTTGTGCCAAACAGCCTCAAACAAACAAATAACAAATAGCATTCTTGTCGGCATGCTGGCGAGGTGCCCCTTGCAAGTTTGTGGCCTATGCCCCTTGCAAGTTTGCGGCGCTTTGCCCCCGGCACGCAAGCCTTTGTCGTTCTTGGAAGTGGGGCTGACCGGTTCGTTGGCGAAATGCCCCTTGCAAGTTTGTGGCCTATGCTCCTTGCAAGTTTGCGGCGCTTTGCCCCCGGCACGCAGGGCTTGGTCGTTCTTGGAAGTGGGGCTGACCGGTTTGTTGGCGAAATGCCCCTTGCAAGTTGGCCCCCGGAAAGCAAACTGAGGCAAACAAGGTTTGCTCTGCGCTTGGAGCGCTGCGCTGCGCTGGCATTATCATATATTAATTTGGCTTTGCAATAAAACAACCTACATTTTTATATGATCTAAAACATGATGTGAATATACATGGACAAAATGCGCGGTGCTTGCAGAGAATTCTAGATATTTAAACGCACATGTTTGGCATATATAGCGCGCGCTCGTTTGCATGTCCATGCTTTCAACGCAGCAACACGTCATGTTTTATGAGAAGTATAATTGATGTAATATATTCCTAATACACGAGAAATGGAGAGGGATATGTTTGTGTGCGTGCTCGTGCGTATAGAACAGAATTTAGTCCAGAAACATTCAAGGCAATTGCGCCTCCCACGCGCTGTTTTGGCTCAAGCTGCGGCTGAGTGCCTAGCGCCTAGCTGGGCCCTGCCAGCTCAAAAATAAAAACACCGCCTCTTTCGGCGCTTCCCCAGCCGCTGGGTACCACCACAGCTCACTCCGCAAGGCCTCTCCTCCAGCCTCCGGCGAGCCTGGCTGGGTACCACCACAGCTCAAGGCCTGTCCTCCAGCCCGAGGACGGTTGGCGCGCTGGCTTCCTCATCCTTGGGCATGAAGGGCGCGATGAGCTCCCAGCCACGCAGTCTCTGGAACGACGGGCTCCAGTCATGCCAGCAAAAGCGGAGCGGCTGATCCTCGGCCTTCAGGCTCAGCACTGGCATGTTATATGGCGCAGACCGCGTCCTGCTCCAGAACCCCCAGTCTCTTTTTGGAATGAAGTGTCCTCGGAAGTGCCCGCCGCCAACTGCCAGCTCCAACGCACGTGTCGTGATGTATTCGGTGACAATCTCCTTGATGTAGTCAAGTGTGGCCCAGGTCGGAACGTGCACCTCGATATTGTTGGCGAAGGGCACGTGCGTCAGCAAGACGATCACGGTCGCGGGGGCGAGCGTCTGCGCGTTGACCGCCATGCAGGCGCAGAGCGTGTGCCTTACCCTATGTTGGCTGTGAGTGGGGAACAGCTGCAGACACTATAGCAGCCATGGCTCACAAAACAGGCATGTTGCACTTTTCAAATGTTGTGGGCAACATGCATAAGAAAAATAAACATCAGACCGTGGAAGCAAGCCAAGCAAACAGCTCATCACTCAAGGCGGCGTATGTGTCACCTCTGGCCTGCCTGGCGCCTGCGCTTTCACGTGCTTGGAGGCATTTGCGTGCTGCCTTTTGTCGAGCAAGCGTGTGCTTCTGCCAAATATTTCCTAAATGACTACCAAAATTGCCCAGAACGCGGGCCTAGACTCTCAAGCCGCCTTTGCCAGAGAGCTCCCGGGCAGCGGGTGCCACCACGACTGCTTGATCTCGGCGGCAGCCGATTCGATCACCAAAGCTCTTCCGAGCCAGAGGATGCCTCAGCGTCTTCCTTCTTGCTCTTCTTTTTCTTCGGCGGGGGCTTCTTAGTGTCGCCTGCCTCAGTGTCATCTTCAGGCTCCTCATCGTCGCCAGAGTTGTCGTCATCAACTCGCTTCTTCTTCTTGGATGCCTTTGGCTTTGCCTTTGGCTTAGGTTTTGGCACTTCCTCGGGCTCATCGTCGCCTTTGTCCTCTTTTATGGAGCCGTCTGGCTTCAAGAACTTGTTGGCCCCCTCTCGGTAAAGGGTGTGTCCTTGCTCCACAAACTTGGACAAGCAATACTTCGTCAGGCGCTCTTCCAGCGCCTCCGCGTGCGCTTCGCTCAGGCACACCGCCAGAACTGGCACGCGCGCATCCAAGCACGCCTGCTCCAGGAACCCTTGCCCTGGTGTGAGATCTACAACGCCTTGGCAGCACAGCGACGCCAGCAGCTCACTGTGGAACTGCTGCGGCAAGCGCGTGCCGCTGAAGACCGTTTCGAGGCGGCCCTCTGCTGCCCGCAGCTGCTTCTGATCCTTGCTCAGGCCTAGGCCGCGTAAAAACTCATAACTTATGATACCTACGGAAACCCACGCTGGAAGTGAAGCAAAATACGTTTTTTAGCAAAGCTGCTGCCTTCCTCGGCGGCGGTCAGTGTCAGCGTCTTCTTGCCCAGGACTTTTTCCTTCACAGGCCGAGGCGCTTCCCACAAAGCGTTGGCAGGCACGGCGTCCACCCAGCCAATGACATCGCCTGTGTTGTAGCCCTGGTAGTGCGCGCGGCGCTTCTCTGGGATCATGGTCGGAACCAGTATGCTCCGGGTGAACATGCTCATTGAGGTTTGGCACGTGTAGGCCTCAGAGCTCTTGATGCGCTGCTTCCGCACTCGAATGGTTTCTTCATTGAAGACGATGGAGGCCTGCTTTTCATTACAGTCCAAGATGTCACCTTTGGATGTCATGGCGCGGAAAAGCTTGCGCACCTCGGGCATGATCTTGCGGCCGCCATCGTGGACGCAGATCAATTCGCCTGGGGCAGGGCATGTTGTTTCTCCTTCTGCGGTCTTCAGCTGCGCGCCCCGGGCTTGCATTGTCCCGTGCACAATGCTACGCAGTTCCCCATTAGCTTCCAGCGGGAGAGAGCGGCGCAGCCCAGGCTGAGCTTTGGGGCCCGGGGCCTCGCCCATCAAGTCCGTGTCCAGCCAAACCATGACCAACCTGCGGCGCTCGGGTGCAAGTGCGCAAGCTTTGATTTTCAAATGTTAGAAGTTACGCAGCCGAATATGGTGAAAATCACGCAAAAAAGGTGTAAACTTTACCAAGGCTCTTCTTCCCTTCCTCCCGCTCCAGGTCTTTCAGCGAGCTTTGGGCCACCAGCCGCTGCATTTGGCCCTGCGTCCCGGGTACCACCACGAAGGACACGTGCCTTCGCACAGAAGTGTTGGCCAAGGAAGTCCAGTAACCGAGCGAGTGCTCGGAAAAAGCCGTGGGCGGCTTCCGCATGGAGGCCAGAACTGTCGGCTCTTCTTCCGGGGCTTCCTGGTCCATCTTGTCTTTGACGGCCTCCTCCATCAGCTCGTTCTCCCGCATAGACACAACCTTGGACCAATCCTCGCGAATGGAGTCGTGCTCCGTCACCTCCTCGGCATTCTTGTGGGCGCGGGCCATGCCTTTCAGGCCATTGTCGTAGTGCTTGTTGAAGACCAGCTTCTGTCAGGGGCAGGACATGTCAGGGTTTGAAGACAACATGCCCCCAAGAGTTTGCGGCCACGCAAAGTGGTTAGAAGTTAGAACAACATGTCACCAGTAAACGAACGAAAAAGAAGGGCCTCCAGGAGCTGCAGCGCTTCCAGCGAGGAACGTGCCAACCCTCCTTGCCAAGAGACATCTTCCCCGCAAAGGTTTTCGCGATACGCCTTGTGGGAGGCAAGCTTCTCCTTCAAAAGCATGCGGTCCTTGTCGGCAACCTTGGCTTTGGGAAGCTCGATGGTCAGCCAATGCTGCAAGCAGTTGCGCTTGAGCTCCAAAAGGGCGATCCATCCAGCATTGCTCTTGTCCCCGCGCAAACTTGTCTTGGTGATGTCCTCATTGTTGACCAGACCCCTCACCACCAGGTCGTGGATGCCTTGCAAAACGAAGACGCGCGCCTCGGGCTTCGGCTTCTGGGCCAGAGCGTGCAAGTTGCACATCTCATTCAAGCACGACTTGGAGCCGTACCTCGTCTCGAGGTCCGCCAGCGGCTCCAGCATCTCAGGCCCCCGGATTTTTTCATACACCTGAATGGCATTGGCGATGAGGTTCGGGCTAAGGTCGTCCTGGCTGGAAGCTTTCTTCAAACCTTGAGCCGTCAGCAACTGAAAGAAGTCACCGTTGTTCAAAGGGCGCCCCTCGTCAGCCTCGAAGCGAGACTTCAAGGTTGCAATCTCAATCGCTTGCTGCAGAGCCGTGCGGGATAAGGATTCATAGTCTTGAGTAATGGCATTCCTCTTGTTCCAGGCATGAATCCACACGTCCCTGCCGCCACTGGGTACAACCACAAAGGCGCAAGGGACGGATCTCAAAATCCTTGCCCACTGCTCCTTGTGCTGGGGCAAGTCGCGCGCACATGCGCAAAGCGCAGCGTGAGCATAGCCTTCGGGTGAGAGCATTTGCAACCCTTGCGGCACCTCTGCAACCGTCGTGCTCGCTGGAGCTTGGACTTCCAAGAGCTTCAGCAAAAAAGACGGCAACGCCCCCTGAGGCCAGATGTAGTCCGCAAGATCCTCGACAGACTTCCGACGGAGCGGAACCCCTGGGGTTGGGCTTTTCAAGAAGTCCATCCAGAACATGTTCACCGCGGCAACGTAAGCCCCTTGGTTGCCCAACGCCCTCGATGCAGCATCAGAACTGTAAGGCTCCTGCCGCATGTGCGAAACACAAATACTATACATGAAAACAAAAAACGTTACACTGAATTGCCCGTAACAATAATGTTTTTGCGCAGGGAGTCCTGGATGCCCCCTTCCGACTCCTCATTCGCTTTAGCAATGGCCACAGCTGGCTGGCAGGGGAAATCCTCGCCCAGGTGCGTCAGGATCTTATGGCAATCTTCTTGCACGGCGTGGTAATAGGCCAGGTTTACCTCCTCGTCCGCAGGAAGCGCCGCGTTCGTGGTCTTCAGCTTCTTGGCAGGAGGAGTCGGCCCAGGCTGCCGGCGCGCAGGCATTGCGGCTGAAGCCTTAGCGGCGGCTGACGCCTTGGCCTTCTCTTGCTTGGCTTGCTTCAGCTTCTCTGCCTTGAAATTCGAGATAGCCGCCTTGGCGCGGGCATGCGCTGGAACTTCCAACAAACAATTGCACTATCACGACTGCACTTAAGCCCTTGCTACATGGCGACAACGCCAAAATCTGTAAAAAAACTCGCAGGCCTGCCTGCTTGCCCTCGTCCGACAGGGGAGGGCTCGAATTTTCCAACTCGGCCTGGAAGCGTTGCACGTCAGCCGCCACCGTCGCCTGAATCGTTGCTGGGCCGGGGCGGGACAACTTCTAGCCCAAAAAAAAACTTTACGATAAAAACCATTGATTAACTTGAAGGGGTTTTGGCCTGCTCGGCAGAAGACAGGCGCCAGGCGGACCAATTTGCCGGCACTCCCGTTGGCAATGGCTGGGTCTTAGCTTTTGCCGCCATCAAAACAGCCAGACTAAGAAAACTTACTTCGAGCCATTGGCAGGTTAGTTACGCAGAACATGCAGCAAAGCGCGTGCGATGTGCCACAAGCAAGCAACACAATTATCAATGCAACGTTAGCCCTCTCACCATTGCGCAGCTCTTTTTTCCAACGCGGCAACGCAAGAGCTGGAGTGTCAATTTCTGCAGTCTTTCCATGACCGGGTACCACCACGGGCGCCGCCCAGCCAATTTCTTCAAACGTCCTGTGTGGACTGCATTGCCTTGTCAGCAGCGGCAGCGGACAGCATGGGATTGTCTGTGCTCCACAGATCTCGCGCGCGTCCCTCCTCTGCCGAAAGCTCTCCAATCGCAACTAAGGCTGCCAGCAACACCTTGCTCAAAACGTTGATGGACATACCATCCCCAAGCGCGCCGCCGACTTGCTGAGGCTCAAACCGCGTCAGCAATTTGTCGAGCAACTTGGGGGGCCAGCCTTGCAGCCGGCCGGCCTCCCGGGCAGAGAGGCGCCGTCTCAGCTTCGGCAAGTAGTAGCCCGATGGGTGCACCTTCAGGCGCGAGCGCGTGAGGCATGGGCAGACACAAGGCTGAGCAGACCGAAACTTCGGGCTGCTGGCGACGTCCAGGATGTAGGGCTTTACCCAAATCTCTTCGCCATGCTTTTGCTCGTACGTGGATACATCTGCGATCTCCGAGCCCTCTTCCGACACATCCAGGAATTTGGACAAGGATCGCTTTGAATGCTGGATCGGCTTGGGCCAACGAAACTTCGACTGCATTGCTGAGCTTAGCACTGCGACAATGTAGACCCGTGGCCGAGATTGCGGAATGGCATAGTCCTTTGAGTTCAAGACTTTAGCGTACGTTTTGTACTGCAGTGTCCTGAAAATATCTTTGAAGAGTCTTGTGAACTCCTGGTGCTTCTCGTGCAGCAATCCCTTCACATTCTCCAGGACACAGACCCGTGGTCTGTGCTCACATATGTAGCGCAGCCCGTGCAGCCCAATCAGCCCCCTGCTGTCGCCCGTGCCCTTGCGCTTCCCAAGCGCACTAAAAGAAGGACAGGGGTAACCTGCAATATAAATATCGCAGCCGGGGGCAGCACTATGTGTTCGTCTGGTGATATCTTTTGACACAGGCGCCACAATGTGGCCGAGCTCTCTACAAACTGCTCGGTAAAGCTTTCTCTTGCCAGCGTCGAATTCCGACCACGTTGCTGTTTTGATCCTGGGCAAAAGGCCGCACATCTTGAACGCCAGCAAGTCCGACCCCATGCCGGCGCAGTCGCTGGTGACCGTCAATGTGCCCTGCAGCGCGGGTACAACCACGCGCTGCTTGGTTTTTTCTTCCGCGAGACGCCTCAAGCTCACAAATTCTGTCTCTAGGGCGTGAGCATGAGCGCCTTTGCTCGGAGGCTTCTTCCGAGCGAGTTTTGTCGCAGCTGCACGCTTCAAAGTTGCGCTGACCTTGGGCCTCTTCTTCTGCAGAGGTTTGCCCATGGCCGGCACTAGCCTGAGCCCACAGTCAAGCTACATTGTCGTCAACGACTGCAAGCTGGATCCGAATTTTTTTCTGACGACCAATAATTTTGTCCAATTAAATCAATAAACTAAACTGTCCGAAGCTTTCGTGCTTCCACCGATGCGTAAGGGGGCCACGACGAAACCACAAACCGGGCAACAGAATAACGTCGGCTTACGCGTGGCCGGTCTGGGCTGGCGCTGCGTAAGGGGAGTGCGAAAACAGCTCACGCTCTTGTGCGGGAAGCCTCCCGAAACTGGCGCCACGCAGCGTGCAGTGCGGAACGGGAGTGCGGACCCCTCATACCTCTTACGCGGACCCGGCCCGGGCTGGCGATGCGTAAGAGGAGTGCGAAAACAACCACCGCTGTAGCGCGAGCAGCGTTCGCACTCCCCTTACGCGTTTTCACACCCCTCTTACGCGGGCCCGGCCCGGGCTGGCAGTGCGTAAGGGGAGTGCGGACCCCTGACCCCTGTTACGCGCCCAACTTCGCGTTTACGCGGGCCCGGCCCGGGCTGGCAGTGCGTAAGAGGGGTGCGAGACGGCAAAATGCGCAACCGAATAACGTCGCCTTACGCGCGGCCGGCCCGGGCTGGCGGTGCGTAAGGGGGCTGCGAGACAGCAAAATGCGCAACCAAATAACGTCGCCTTACGCGCGGCCGGCTTGGGCTGGCGGCGCGTAAGGGGGTTGCGGGAAATCAAAACGCGCAACCGAAAATAACGTCAGCTAGCTCACACACACGCACAGTCCCACACACACACACAGCCGCACACACGACTAAGCAACGCAGAACGCGCTTGCCAGCAGTTCAGTCAGATCAGCTTTAATCGTGTGAAAAGAGCGAACGCCCAAGCCAAGATTGTCAAATAACCAAACCGGAAAAATGCAACTACTCAACACCAGCGCGCCTGGACGAGCCCACTGCGAAATACCTATGTAGTTAGCGATAAATATAAACGAACGCGTGAGCTCAACGGCAGTGCGACGCGTGCATGTGTAGCGCGCGCGTATGTTAAGTCACACGGTATGGCCCGCAGCGATGCACACTTGCACATCGACGCAGACCCATGTCATGTTCACTTGACCTTGGCCAGCTGAAATATATTTTCTTCCTCCGTGTTGGCGCGCTCCCCAGCAGCCGGCCCCGCTTAGGCCCCCTGGCTGCAACCCCCGGGCCCCTAAACGGGCCACGCACGCACAAGCGCCAATGATGCCAGGCTTTGAGCCGCACACCTTGGAATCACCCCATTCCTAGCTGTGGCCTGACTTGCTCGTAACAATGCAAGCGCGCCCTAATTTGGCCATTAGACCTTCAGCTGTGCACACATGTCGGCGGCCTGTCTTCTTCAACCCACTCACCTCGGCAAGCTGGCACAAAACGACTTGAGCTGCATTCTTGTCAGCGCACTGCAGCCACTTGGTGCCAGGTGACTCGCAAACCTCCCCCAGAAAACTAGCCACTTGAGGGCTTCTCTTGGCAAACGATTGTGTGACATGCAACGCCGTGGTTCTCTTCTCAGCCGGCACATATGAAACGCAGAATGTGCGGGCCTGACCCCGCTCCGCAAGAAAGACTGCTCGGCTCAGAAGTGTCTTGCCCTTGAGCAGGGCGTGCCAGCGAGCACGTGGCTCAGGGTCCTCATGGTTGACAACGAAGACGCTGCAGCCCTCTAGTTCGCTGCTAACGCGATGTGCTCCCCAGCTGATGAGTTTGTGGCGCTCCTGCAAGGTCGGCTGCGGGATCCAAACATCTGCGCCCGTAACAAGGCCGCTGAAGAAAGCAAAGTCTTTCTTTTCTTGCGCCATGTGCCACAGGTTTGCCCTGTTGGTCTCCTCCCGCTTTCGCTTCCGATCGTTCGTGGCGTCGCGCCTTGCTTGGGCCACGACGTTTTGCTCAGAAGGCTTCTCTTCGTCCAACAAATAGCCGTCGCCATGCGCCTCAACTCGAAGTTGTTCAGAGACTTTGCCTAGGCGTTTCTTTTCTTTCTCCATGTCAGGAGTCCACTCGGCGTTGCTCTGATTCTGCGATTGCGACTTGGGCTGCGGCGTGCTGATGACTGCGTCAAGCTCTGCTCGGCGCCGCCTGAGCCAGGCAGCTTCTGTTTGCGGCACTCCGCGCCGGGTACCACCACGGGGGGTTGCCGCTGCGGACGCCTTGACTTTGAACTTCCCTGTGCCTTTGTCGAGCCGCTGCTTGCGCCCAGCAGCGTTGTTTCTTGTCTGCCGAGACCTTCCAGCACTGAACAGCGCCCGCGCAGACGAGATCACGGCCTCATCGCCATGAACAACTTTGCTGTCTGGGTCAGCCGACGTCAAGCCCACGACTGCTCTTCGGAAGGCATCATTTTGACCGTTGCCACGGTGTAAGTGGCATCGCTCCACCTTGGAGAACGTCTGCTCGACGCCAGATGAAGATGTCGTCCAGCATAAGTACGCTGAAAGTACCTCAGGAAGAGACAAAGCACCCCCCTGCGCGCAAAGACAGAGAGACACCACACAGACACGTCACGCCAGCACGCGCGCGCACACACACACACAGACACACACACACACACACATGCGCGCGTGCGTGCACGCAGGCAGGCACGCACGCGACACCCACGCACCCATGCACCCGGGCCACGCACAAGCGCACACACACACACACATCTTAGACTACAGAAGTCGCATCCGCGCCTGAGATCACGCACGCCAGAAATTATGTTCATAATTATTTAATTATTAACGCGGCGTGTAAATTTGGCCATGGCGCTGGCTGAAGGCTTTCCGTGCGCCAGTGTGTGGTTGCTGATGCAGCGGCACGCCGGAAAGCATATTGCCATGCCTGTCGGTTGCTGCAGCCCGTGGCCTGCTGCTGCACTGCTGCAACTGGAAAAACCATCTAAAACTCCTCCTCCAGAGCCACTGGGTCTACTTTGAATAGCTTCGCGAGCTTCGTCAAATTGGCAGAAACTGAATGGCTGGTTGCGGCCCCTTCGGAGACGCTGAACACCTTAAACGCCATGATGGCATGAAAGCTTGGAAACTCTGCACGCACCGCCTCTTTGCAAAGCTCCACGCAAGCCTGCATCTTCCGCAGCGCTGCCCGCTTCGCAGCCGCCAAGCCGTCCGCCGATCCGCCCAAAGCCCGCGCGCGACCGTCAAAGAACATTACCAGCCTGTTCTGCTGCAAGATGTCCAGGCAGTGCTTGGTGAAGCCGTGCACGTGAAAGCACTGCCCTTCGCTGAAGAGAGCCTGGCCGCAGTCAAGAACGAATTAAAAAGGTGAACGACACAGATGCTAACTACTGAAGCCAAACGACATGACCACAACAGAACGCCACAGGCATGCCCCATCAGTGGAAACTGAAACACCGACAAGCGCGTCGGCAAGCTACCGCCAGGCCTCCATGCGTCCGCAAAAGAGACTCACCTCCTCGTTGATGCGGGCAATGTCCAAGGATTCATCGTCAAAATACCTTGTGAGCTGCATGCAGGAATCTGCTAAGTCGGCACACATGCCAAGAAGGATGGCGCGCTCAGGGTTGATGGACGCCATCCACTCCGGGGCCCACCGCGCGTCATCTCCGCAAGATGAGGCTACGCGGTTCAGGACTGCGATCATGCTATCCAAGTGGAGAACAATGCGGCCCAAGGGTTTGCTGTAGGAACAAAATCTGTGTTTTGCAGCGCTCAACGTCTTGCCGCGGCTCAGCTCACTTTGCGCCACTGCGTCCGCAAACCAGGAAGAGAAGGTGTGGCTGCGGTCGATTTTCTGGCACACGCTGTTTTTGCCCAGCACGGTCTCCTGTCAGCTTGGCGGCGAAAGGCCCTGTGGGAACATTTCAAAAACGAGTGGCCTTGACGTGAATTCTTTGGGCTAATGGGAACCGAAAATGGCATTCCGCGCTTTGATGGAAAAATCTTTCACTGCGCAATTAACTAAAAGCCTTAATAAAAGGCAAGGCCGAGATTTGATCAGTCCTCCAGCAAGGATTGCACTGCCCTGCATGCGCCCCACGGATGGGAAAGCACTCGCTGACACGCGTGAGCGCGATCCCGTCCAACAATCTTGGCGTTGGGAAACAGCAGCTCCTCTGCCTCAGCGCTGCGCAGGCCCCTGCCCAACTGCTGCGCCAGAATTTCACTAGGGGCGCAGTCCGTGACCACCATGTCGCAGCGGTCCTTAACGGTCGCAAGCAAGTTTTCGTCCAGACGGGTACCACCACGTCCGCGGAAGCCCCGAGGTGGTTGGAACTGCTCGGTTGCAAAGGTCTGAAGAGCGCGTGCTGTGGCGTCCACAATGTCAGCAGCCTTTTTCCCACAGGAAAGATCTTGCAAGCCCAAAACACCTGTCAGAACTGACATGTCCCGAAGGGTGGCGCGAAAGCGCAGCATCAGCTTCCCCGCGCGCTCATCTCGGATGATGACCAAAGACTTGCAAGTGCGCAAGGCAGACCGGGCTTCTTGCAGGCACGCTTCTGTCAAGCACCAGCGAGTTAAGGTTGCCTGGTCGCTGCTTCCTCCGCCATCGCGCGCGCTGCGGCCCTTGCGCAGGCCTTCCAAAGCCTTCTCAAAATCCTTCCTAGGCGGGGCCAAGCAGGCTGATTTGCTTTTGTCATGCCACGCTTGAAGGGCTTCTTGATGAATCCTGGTCTTGGAGTGCTTGCGGCACGACCAGAGCGCCCCCCGCCGGAATAGCAACGACAGTGGCTGCGCGAAGCGCCCGAACACATTCTGATCGACCGCGCTCCTGCCCTTATCCAAGCCTGAGCCGTCGCCATTCTCAGTGTTCTGCACCATGTTCCGCCGGTAGGCGTGGCACACAACGCACCCCAGCCGAAGCACTCGGCGAAGAGCCTTGTTGGCGAGGTCCGAGGCATCAGGAAGAACGGAAACACAAGCCAGCCAAGTCTGCCTCTCAGTGCCTTCAATGAGGCACTCACTTCGGAGAGCGCCGCCTTTGCGCGCCCAAGTGCACCTGCCGCACTTCTTCCTGCTGCACCGGCGCGCGTGAGGTCTAAGGTGGTCTGGGCGCACCGCGGCAAGATCCTCCATGGCCGCGGGTCACTCGGAAAAAAACATCCTGAAGCTCAGAGCAACAACTCTACTAACCCTGAGATCACGTAGCTGCGTTGCGCTGCACTGATTGCGCTGCATTGTGTTGCGGTGTGGCGCGTTGTGATTCAGCTGCTTTGATGACATTATGTCGCTTGCATGTTGCCATTGTCATTGCTGAGCCTGTGAGGCAGAGCAGCGTGGAAATCCAAACCATGAAACGAGTCCTTAGAGCAGCGGGGAAATCCAAACCATGAAACGTTTGACTCGGTGTCTGGTCTTTCCATGTCTTCTGCTGAGGCAACATGTCTGACATATTATATCAATGTTGTGGACAGAACTAAATAAATGAATGGTCTTATTTGAATTAAACAACTGCTGCAGTGCAACCTGGAGTCAATATCGAGAAACTGACAGACTGCGAAAACCTGCCGTAACCTGCCTGCCTCAATGAAGTGGCCGTGAGAAAATTCGCAAACGCCAGCAAGCCCCCTTTTTGTCGCGACAGCGCCTGCGTCGGTTTGTGAAACGGCTCTGCTCCTGCAGACTGCGGCAAATTTTGCGCAAACGGGTACTACCACGCCGCGCGTGCAACCAGCTTCAATTGTTGAATTACAGCTGCGTCGCCCACACGGAGACAGCATTTTGGTAAGCCATCTGCAAGCTCTGCTGCAACTGGGACCGGGAGGGGAGGTTGACGTGCTTGCAGCTGGCACACGGCCCGCAGCGCCGAGGCGTAGCCCACAGTCCCGCCCCTTCTGTCAAGTTTAAAACATCGAACCGCGCACATCGTATGAACTGCCTGGCAGTGTCACTGGTCACATGCCACAGCAAGTGACCAAATGCCACTGACCTGTGGTTGCCTCCGCGGCAGTACGCCACGACAGTGATGTGCGGCCTGGCCATGGGTTCGTTCACAAACCTGGCCAAGACCACTCGCCGCACCCTCCGCAAAGAATCAGCAAAGACCGGGTGCTTGGACACGCCGAGCAGGATCTGCGGGTGAAGGCCAATGTGGTCCCTCAGGCGTGGGTCCCCCTCTGGGTCATGAGCGCCTCTCAAGTCGAGAAACATGACCGGGCCGTCGAAGGCCATGAGCCCAGGAACCGCACGCAAACAGACCATCAAAGCTTCTTCTGAGATATCCGCGTGCCGGGCACTGTCTGATTTGAGAGTTTGCATGGCCGTGACGACGGCCGGGTCCCTGACTCGCTCTTTCAACAAAGCAGGCAAAACGCTGCTCAAGTTGCTTGTCCCGCATGTGATAATGCGAAGCTGGCATTCTGGGAGAAAGCCGTCCGGCACGCTGGCTGGAACTCCCCCGTGCCCAGCGTTGGATACGCCACTTGGCATCGGAGGCGGGCCTGCCACAGCTGGGGCCGGGGTACCACCACCGGCTCCCAGGGGCACTGCGGCAAGCCTGACTGGCACCATGCCACGATCAGCGGGGTCTGTGTTGCCGATGCCTTCAATAACCTGCCAGCAAGCACTGTCGCCCCGCGGCTTCTCACCACCTGGCGCGTTTCTCCACCACCTCCCTTGACTCAGGGCCGCTAGCGAAGCCTGCCGGTTTTCAGAGTTTTGGGTTGCCCACTTTGTCGCCGACCCGGTCCACCTTGTCTTGGCCTCGTTCTTGGCGCGCTTGGCAACGGTTGAATTGGGAATGCTCCAGCCACAATGGAAGCGCAGCAGCCTAACGTTCTCCCGGGCAGTTCCTGCTGCCTTCAACCTCTCGAAGAAATCAATGTCCTGGTACCCCGTCGGGTGGAAGGCTTCATCGTAGCCCCCAAGGGCCACATAGGCGTGGTCGGGGCACCCCACGCGCCCAGTGCAGCCCGAGTCAGAGCCCCCAACGCATCTGAAGCCCCAAATGCTGTTGTTTTGCAGCAGCGCCCCAACCCCGCACCCGCGCGAGAGAAGCTGCTTGCAGAAGTCCGCGCTCAAAATGTTGTCTGCGTCCAAGTTCACAAGGAGGTGGGCTCTGTTGTTTCCAGGGGCACGCGGTGGTTGGGTGGCCCGTATTTTTGGCAGCCACCCGTCCACAGCCTCTGCCCCAGTTTCCCAGGGTGTGACCAGCGCCAGTTTGTGAGCAGCATTCTTGCACTGGGATGAATGGAAAAATTGTTTTCCGGCAGCACTCACAACCAGACTTCCATTTCTCAAGTGCTCACTGAAATGCTGCTTGAGAAATCTGACAGTGTCCCCAAAGTCAGCTTCCTCCGCTGGGGTACCACCACCAGCGCCAGAGTCGAAGAGGGCAACGCAAAACCGCACACTGTGCCCCAGATGCTCCAAACACATGGCCAAGTTGATGGCCAGTGCATTTCGGAGCTGCCAGCCTCGGTTAAGGCAAGCCGTGCAGAAGGAGATCTTTGCCGCTCTTCAGGCCGTCGCCAAAGGCGACCTTTGATCACCCTCTCTGGCTCGGGACTCAGGCCATGCTGAGTCATGGCCTCCTGGGCGCACCGCTGCGCCAGCTCCCAGGCTGGCCTGGCTGGAACCACAAGCAGCGGCTGCGAACGCATGCTCGTCTCTGCGGCCTGTCTGAACGGCGGCGCGCTTGCCGGAGGCGGTGGCGGAGGTGGTGGCGGAGCCGGGGCTGGCTGCTGCTCAGGCGCCGCTGGCTTTGTGGGCGGCTTTGGCGCCGGCCTTGTTGGTGGACCGCCGGGCGAGCGTATCACACGGGCTTGGCCGTCTGCTTCAACGCGGATGTTGCCGCAGTCGTCCCTGGTAAGCTTCACCAACGGCACCTCCTGTGTCCTCAGGGGCGCTGTGGCCTCGTAACTCGGACCTTGGTGGCTGCTGGACTGCGCTGCTGACGCAGGCTCTGCTGGCTTTCCGGGACCTTGCCCAGTTGGCGCTGGCTCAGTTGGCACTTGCTCTGCGGGCGTTTGCACTGTCATGGGGCCTGCGTCAGCACTGGCAGCTGCATGCGCCGGGCCATCGTTATCCTCATCCGGATCCCAATCTGCTTCCTCGGCGGCGGGGCAAAATTTAATCAATTCTGAGCAGCTCTCGTGCGTGGCTCATGAAACTGCACTAACAATGATTTTAAAAAAAGAAACGCCAAAAGCGAAAGTGGAATAATACCGCCAAGGCGCACTGAGAAGGTCTGCCTCCCCCGCATTACCTTGCTTGTCCTCGCCCTCCTCGTCTTCGTCCTTGGCGTTGTCGCCTGCTGCGGCTTCAGTGGGTAGCTTCCTCCTCGGTGGTCGAAGCTGCCGCCACTCCAGACCTGGCAGAAGATGCGCCACATAGTCGCAGAAGAGCTTCCAAGCATCCCTTGCGTGCTGCCCTTTCACCGTGACTCTGGAGAGGTGCGGCTGTTTCTTTTTCTTCACCTTTATCATGCAGCCCAGGTCCTCAATTTGGGTTCGCACCTCTTGGTAATGCTGGCCCGGAGGAAGGTCTGTGAGCGCAAGCGGGACGCAGCCGTAGACAAACTCGTCGTCAGGAAAGTCTTGCTGCCACGCGCCTTGCTCCGGAACTCGTCTGGCCGCCTTGCGGCGGGACTCGTCTGCCTCGTCACCTTCATTCTGCCAGCGTCCGCGCCTGCCTGCTCCTTCATCCTGCCACTGCCACCCGTCGCCGTCCCAGCCGCGCCACCACCTAGACCAAGATGACCAGCCCCAGCCGCTCATGGCAGCGAATCGACTGCAATGCTGCGTGGGCCGCCCATTTTTTGAGCAGTGTGCAGCAAACCAACTTCAAGCCGACCAACCCGCCCTGGTGCCAATGCGGCAATGACACAACCAACTTGCTACATCCTGCAGGCCGCATTTAAGCAAAGGTGTTCATGTTGGCGACTTACGTTCGCCCCTTAGTGTTGAACCACAAGCAACTTCAAGCACAACCGTCAGTTGAACTTAGCACGCTTGCAACCGCACAGTGCGCCCAGCAAGACGTTGATTTTTTGCCCCTTGGCAAAGTCAACTGCTCGCTCCGCCTGGCCGTTTAAGGCCTGACTGAAGGCCTAGACAATAAGTAGACCTCATGGTCTCCACAATAAGCTGCTTAGGTCACGTGAGGGGGCACGGCAGGAGCAACACGACATTGAAGAATCCCAGAAGACTCAGCCAAACGCGCCAGAGCAGCGCTGCCAGCATCGAGGTCCTGCAGGGGCTGCTTGACTCTGCAAACTAGACAGTGGCAGAATGTTCCGAAGGGGCAAAATTAATACAAAAGCCCTAATTTACCGAAGGGGGCGTCGGTAAGTTGGGGGGAGTTGGGGCATTCCAAAAAAACTCTCCATGTGACTGTGAGCGCCTATGCTCGGTTAAGAACACATATCTCACATGAGAAACGTGTGTGTGTGTGAAAACAGCCAGCAACAGCAAGCAAAGTGCTTGAAGAAAACAGCCCGGAAACTGCTCCTTGCCCACTTTCCTCCAACCAGATCCTGATCTCGATCCGCCAGCTGCTCCTCAAGTCCTGCCAGGGCAGCAGGCGGGCCAGGGGGGAAACGCGCATCTAAAGCAAATGTGCCTACGAGCCATACCAACATACCACCAAACTAAGACAGGGCCGTCTTGGCCTTCTCCAGCAACCGTTTCGCAATAGAAGTATGAGTGAGGGGTACAACCACCTTCACTTACTGTGGAGCTGATTGTCTTGCAAGTCGGCACGTGCGACATCTCAAGTTGTCAAAGATTGATGGGCAAAGCTGGCCTTCTGAGACTTGGGAAAAGCAATTTTCGAGCCGCCCTGCCCCCCCCCCCCCTCCCCAGGCGCCTGCAGAGTGGTTGTACCCTGCTGCCCCTGCCCTGCGCGCACTCCCAGCCTTGGGCAAGCCTCTTGGCCTGCAGTAATTCCCAATTCCTTGCTGCAGCACGGCTTTTGGAAGCGAGCGGCGCCTGTAAATTGCCACGCCAGCCCAACATGACACAAGCAAATGCAAGAATTTGCAAGATTCTCGCTCCCAACTCAGGCCGTTATTAATTTCAACAGGTTCTCGATCTGAACTTGGGTGAGGGGTACAACCACCTTCACCAAACACTGAGGGTCTTGCAACTTCGGCGGCCTCCGGCTAACAACCGCCACACATTCACTTATGCAAGCTTAAAGGGGAGTCTTCCCCGAAAGCCGAGGCATCAATCATGGTCCGTATTCGCACTTTGCACTGTTTGCTGCGCAGGCCAGCCTTGTTGAGCAAAACCAAAGACTCAGCCGATGGAGAAACATCTTTATCCTCCGATGCAAACCCCGCCTGTTTCCCGCAATGGTGCCTGGACCTTAAAAAAAACTTAGCATCCGACATGCGCTGAAGTGCCCACCACCTTGCTGAAAAGGCCTTCTGGAGGACTACCCAGACAACCCATATAACATCGGCAAGATTGAGTCAGTTCCTCTGTCCTTTCTGCGTGCGCGAAGAGGCCATGTGCGGTCCCAGGCAGAGATTGCACTGATGTGACCTGCCGGCCTTGCACTTGGACTGAGGCTTCCCATTCCCGCACCGCCCTTTCTGAAAGAGTTCGCAGATTTCAAGACCCTTCCTGCTGTGTGTATATATGCCCCTTCCTTTGTCAAAAATGGACTTGTTGTCGCCGCGGTACTTGGCCTTGCCCTTCTTGCGGACCTTTGCGCCAAGCTTCGGGCCGCCGTCTGACGAGTCGGAGTCTTCTCTGGCTGGCAGGCTTTTGTTGCGGGCCAACAAAAGCGTGGCCGGGGTCTTGACCTCCTTCGACCAAAACTCTGCCTCGCGGATGGCCATGGCGAAGACAGCTGACCAAGGAGCCGCCTTGGTGTATCCAAACTGCGGGCACTCATTGAGGGACCTGCGGATCCTGTCCATGAACTCGGTGCTCATTCTGACGTCGGCTCAGTAAATGATGCCCCAACAGTCATGGCCAAACTGGCTATGGAGGTCCTTAATGAACTCCATGTAGCTCTCGAGCCGCTCACTGTCCACCACTCCCAATAACAACAGAGACACCCTGTACGTCTTGAAGCATCTCTCCCAGGCCTGAATGGAATCAGGGCCGGGCGTCTCCTTCTTTGACCATTCTCCAGTCGCAGCATTCAGCGTGTAGCTGGTGAATACGGCACGGCGAAGTTGCCGTAAGCCATGAGGGCCGAACACGCTGAAGTCGACATATGGCAAGGAGTTGCTCTTGACCAGCTGGGAGATGGCCGCCAGTTGGTCCATGGCTGGCTCGACATCAAGGCTCGGATAATCCCCGAACTTGGCCTTGTATAGTCGGAATACATCTTGGTCACTTCTTCCTGCGATAGTTGGACGATCTCTGCATCCAGCGTGGGATCAACCACGCTTGAGAGCTTGAGCTTGCGAGTGGGCGCCGCGTTTGCCAGCCCGCCGCCACCACTTTGACAGGTTCCTGGAAAAGGTGTGGCCCCCGCTGGCAAGACCTGTGGGCCCGAAGCCCCCGGTGAGTCCGGCCGGGCGCCCAACCGAAGAAACACCGTCCTCCTGAAGATCTCGATCCTGGACTTGTCCACGGGAGTGAGCTCCCGCTCACTAGGCGTTCCATCCGCTGCCGTGACCGTCACCTTCAGGCCTGAGACTGCGGAGTCCCAGTCTGGCCTTGAGATGAAAGCAATGTCACGCAGCTTGGTAGGCCCGCCAAGGGCGGCTGTCAGAGCGGTCTGAATTTGCCCCGCGGTCCCTGCCCAGTTTCCCACATCATCCAGGGTGGACATACCATTGAGCTCATCCTCTGTCGGGCCCATGGACCCACAAGGCGGCGAGCAGGCTGGCCGGTGAAGGACTCCCCTGCTGCGCCTGTTCTTGGAGGGTCCGGCCAAAAGGACGCCCAAGAGGCTCTAGCGTCGGCGCTAAGGAGCCCTGGACTTGCCTTCAGGCCAGAATCCCCACCTAAGACCAGGGCCTTGTAGAAAGAAGTCTCACCAGCCTTCAGCCAAAATGGCATCGAAGGCAAGGTGAACCCACCCACATCTCCCCTCTCACTCCAAAGATTGTTACATTCACAACAAGCTGTTCCAATCTCCAATCAAAAAACCTCAGGCTTAACAGCTTGCTAAGCACAAGGGCAAGAACACTCCTAAGTCTCTCGCAATGTTGATTGATTTATGTTTGATTGCCCACAACCGCGGCATAATTTTGAAAGCCCTCGTAATTTTGCGGGTTCTCACTTTTCAGAGAGTTGCTGAAATCCCGAAATGGGTTGGTTTCTCCACAGAACAATAGGTACACATAATTGGGCGTCTATGTTTGAGCGTACTTTTTTGGGTGGTCTTGAAGGGAACAAAAGAAGAATCACCAATTTTGAGACAAACCCAATTGAAAGCGAATCTTCAGAATCATAGCACATACTCCAAACACGGCATGGGAAGTTGAAATGATCCTCAATAACACGGCGCATTTTGCAGGGGGTACTACGGGGTTCACAAGATTTCCCCTTTAAACATCACAACAGAAACTTCGGAAGGGCAACCAAAAGGTGATGTTCAAAACACATTCGATGCCAGAAACCTGTTCTTACCAGACCAGTGGGCCCTGTTAGACTCAAAAAGGCACTGGTAGCTCCTGTTGGAGTTGTGGCCACATTTGGTCGCTAAGCAACCATCGGAAATTGGCCTCAAAAGCTACTTCCAAGAGTATCCGTATCCCTTTAACAAGTTCTACTTGGAATCTAGGAAACCCGCACTGCGAAACAAATCCATTGAGCGGAAGCGCTTGACGGCTGGCTCGGAGTGACTCACTTGGATTGGCCAAGCAAGCTCAAAGAGTTTGCTGCCACCAATGTTGACCCCAGATGGCTAAAGCCCATCCTATTGACAGGGTGTTCCCCTCTAAAAAAGTGGGGGGTCCGGGTCAAAGGGGGACACCCCAAATTCATCCACCAGGTGAATTTGTTTCTCCGGGGTTCCCACCAACAGGGTCTTCCAGACAAAAGTCCGGAAGTTCTCAAGTGCTTCCTCCTCAGTCCAGCCCCCGCCAGTCAACCCTTGGAACTGGGTCGACAATGTCCCTGGGCCTCTTTGGGAGCCCCGAATCCAACCGGACCTTTCGCGACCATCTACGTCGCCTTCGAAGCCAGCCATCTCCGAAGCCAGTCGCATGGTTTTTGGGGAGCCCAGGCCCTGGTATCACAGACATGCCAAAAACATCCTCAAAGTTGTGAGCTAAACTGCAGTTCAAAGGAACACCACCAGGAGTAATTGCGAGAACTCCAAATAAGGGACCCGTAACCAACGGGATGCTTTTAGAAACTCATTCTTGGGCTCTTCTGTAAAGGACGGCCCCTTTGACAGTTGTGGCGGACCTCTCCGGTCTTACTTCCAGAACCCCATTTCATTGTCTGACTTTGACGACACGCAATCAAGACAAGGGCTGGGCCGACTTGTTTGAACCATGGCGAAAACGCCTTTCAAACGGAATCAGGGGCTGCAGCCGCATGGACATTTTTTGTGGCCCAAGCCGTATGGACAGAAAAAGTCACATATGGGTTTCCAGGTCGTTGCTTAAACATTTGTTTTGCTCGACCACTTGCTGAAAGGGCCCCCCTTGTTGGTTTGAAGGGAACCCAAAAAGCAAAAGCACACCACACACAGACACACACACACACACACACACACACACACACATTTCGCTTTGATTGACACGCACCCAGGGCCCCCAAAACCGAGCGATACCCTGCGACTCGTCCTGCCAGAGAGGCAAAGGTTTGGCGCAACTCCTGCTGCATCTTTTGCCCCGCATGCACCTCGCGCGGTTCAGGGGTGTCCCGCGGTACATGATGCCAACATGATATTGAAAAAAGAGACACCCGATGGATATATATATTCAAAAAATACCACATGATGGACACAATGCCGCACCACTGAGTGGTCTGGTTTATCTTTTAGGGTTTCATGCATCCCATCTGGTGCAATGCGTCCATCCACAGCGCCGCAGTATGGCCCTGGTAAAACGACCCGTCGAATTCCTGGGCGAACCGAGACCCACAGAAGTTCTTAGAAGGACGGGCGACCGAAATCTGCATGCCACGGTCGGAAGGGTCTTTGAGGTTGTTTGGAGGTACACACAAACAAGTGCCATTCGTGACAGTTTGGGAAGATTCTGCAATTTCAAAACCGCAAATCAGAGTTGGATCCCCGGCGAGCTTCTGTTACCCTCAAAGCTCGCCATGAATGTGGGTGGGTGTGTGCGCGTGTGTGGGTGTGTGCTTGTTTGTGAGGGTACCCTTTTCAGTTTGGTTTCATTTGGGAATTCACAATAAAAGCCCGCACTTTGGAGTTGCCACATCTCTTTGACGTTCCATACCCGTTTGGTACCAGTCGCTCCCATTCTAACACACACGCACCCAAACCTCCAGTTGACTATAGCCAAAAAGGTAGGTAGGCTATAGCCAAAGACTGTGCAGAACCCAAATTCCCAAAATCAAAAGAGCGCGCCAAGAACAGTCTGAGTCTTAGACCCCCCAGTGGCCATGGGAATAAAGAGGGCACTCCTTTTTTGGTACCTGAAGGTAAAGGGCACCCCCTCCATATAAAAAAAAATGAACCCTCCATAGTTGAAAGAACAAAATTCAAACAAACAAGAAAACAACAAAGACAAAAGGGGGGGAAACCAGCTCCGCTGGAGGTCTGGCAAGTGGGTTGAACATAGCACGCGCCTTGCGCCGCATCAGGTCCGTGTGCTTTCGGGAGCTGTGAAGCACGTCCTCGCGACGATTCGTCGAGCTGCGATATGGGGATCTCTGTCTTTTTCCCGGGGACCCCAACATGGTGCTTTTCCTTTTGGTCTTCAAGTAAAACCACCCAACAACGGGTACCCTCGAAAAAAGACACACCCATACTGTTTTTGCCAAGGGCCAGTGGCCCTTCGCGGTGCCGTAGCGGCCATTGCGGACAATTGACCATTTACTGTCAGCGCTTGTGACTCTATACATCAAAGACGTAAAACAAAAAGCCCACCAGTTGCACCCCGACAAACGATGTAAGGAAGACCCTTGCTGGCGGCCAGGAGGAATCCGGGATCATGCAATTCCAGGGAAAAGCCGGTTACGGTGCCTATCTGCTCTAGTTACCGCTGTTCGCAAGTGGGCGGGAAAAGGAACGCCACTCGTTTGAACCTCGTCCGGTGGGCTGGCATCTCTTTTTTGTTCTGTAGCTGGTATAGCGACAACTGGAAGCACTGGGTCACCAGAAAGAAGTGTTGAGTTTTGGCAAAGAACAAAGATACAAGATGGTACCACACGTTCAGCCACATGACAACTTGTTCATGTGTTGAAGGGGATTCCAACTTGGTATCAAACAAAGCGGCTCTAAAATCCAATTTCCGCAACCATAGTGTGAACACGTCCCTTGATGGGAGGTGTCTCAGCTGGATTGAGTAAAAAACAAGTACAGAGTTGCTTTCCACTAGCGCGGTCTTCCCAAAACGTGAATCAGGAAGCCTACCAAGCATTCCCCAAGATTCAGGAGTCCTGGAGCCCACGTCAGGGCCTGCAACTTCATTAGGGCTCTCTGAAAATATAAGCTTGGCGGATTTGTCTGGTGCTGTCCCTAGCAAACCCAAGACTTAAACTCAGTGGTCTTCAGAGCCCCTGAGTTTCAGACATTGGGCTCAAACTTAAACCCCACTTCTCCAAAGGTCCGGTGGTAAAGGCTTCATGTAGCCGGCAACTTCGTTGGCCATGTCAGGGTTTCATTTAGCCTTTTGCAGGAGATTTTGTGAGATTTCGAATGCACTAGGAAGCATGACTCCACATGGAGATTGGCCTAGTTACTGAGACTGAAGTTGTGATCGTGTAGCTTGCAGTAAACGCAGGTGAGTCAAAGATTGGACACCCATCCCAAATCTTGGCCTTCTCAGCAACTTCCCTTGGGGGGTCCCGTGGTTGTTGCGGGCCCCCCTTCAGGATTGGCTTTGAGCGGGAACCAACCAGAAAAAACCGACGCGGAAGTCCATTTTGGGCAGCCCACCAAGCTTCGCAGACGCCCCCAAAAGGAAAACCGACTCCGAAGCCGCCGAAGCCCATTTTGGGGGTAGCCATCCATCGGCCGACGCCCCCCGCCTCCACCAGGTTCAAGTGCTCCTCGCTTTGCTCCGCCGCGCGCTGCGGCAGCGCCTTGCCGCGCGCCCAGCCTCGAAAGGAAAGCAAAGGTGAGACCCGAAAGCGGAACCGAAAGGATCTAGACCAAAAGGAGAAAAAGGAAACTAGGTCCTCCAGTAGAGAGGTTAGAATAAGGGTACCCTTTCTATTCTGTAGCCTATTTTAGTAGAGTAACCCTCCCCAATTCAAAAGGGTAAAAAGGGCACTACTGGGGGAGCTAGGGAAAGGTCAACCGGTCGATGGAGTGAGCACTTGGAAAAGGTGACCTTGTGGAGCAAAAACCTGAAGACTTGAGTATGGGGAGTGGGCAATGAGAAAACAACACCTGAAACACAGCCCCTTAACACACTGACGCCTCTTCCACCTCTTGGCCCATTTCTGGGGTACGCTGCTCAGATTCTATGGAGACCCAAGCTACCGGAGAGCCTCTCCCAACAAACTTTACGTAGAACCGGAGATAGGAATCAGCCGCCACCATCTCTTCGTCTCTTCGCCCGCCTGTGCGTTGGCGCGCGCCCTGCGTGTGCTTGTGCAGCGCCGCGGACGCCGCACGCAAATTGCCGGCGGAGGCGTTTCCGCGGAAGGCGTGAGCCTGTCGAGAGCGAAGATTGCGGATGTGCCAAAATACAGGGGGGGACCCCAAAATGGCGGCTTTCCTTTAGGTTTCCTTTGTTGAAACGAAGGTGAACCGGGTGACCTCAAAAAAACATGCACCCAAATATTTGCGGGTTGCATTGCCCTGGGCCGGTCAAAAGGCCTTCAAACGCATTGGCAACATCAAGGAGCGCTGTTGCGAGAAGACTTGGCCGCCGAATGGTTTGGTTATCAATGGGTTTGTGCTTTGTAGGATACCCTTTTGGGTGGTGGAGAGAAACCGAAAGCAACCACAATGTTTGGGGTCCGAATGTCTTTGACACAAACCCAGATGCGGCTAAAAACCTCCTGGGTTCATAATCCTATAACCAAACAAAGGCGGCCAAGTAGGGTTTGATTCCCGGTTCCTTCCAGCCATGGTTCTCTTGAAGCAGCCAGCCTTCTTTCCGTTTTGTTTTCTGATGTTCTGGTCAAAAGGATGACAAGGGGGAAGTTGCTCCTACCGTTCGCGCGCTTGGACTTCTCTTTGAAAGTTGCAAGTTGCTCGGGGGTTCCCTTCAAAGTGCCACTTTTGGTTGCCTAAACAGGGATCCTTACATTATACACCTGAACATTGCCGTGTAAATGGTGGTTTCCCTTTATTTTGGTGGAAAAAGCCATGTTTCAAATGGGCAAAGTGTATCTTTTAAGGAGCCCTGCTAAAGAAGGACTCAGGAACTCTGAACGGAAGCTGGCAGATCCCTACAGGAGGAATATGGTCATAGGCCTGTCTCCTTCAATGCGAGGGAACATGAGGGAAACCCAGATCTTGGTCCAAATATGCGGTACGGCCAAGGAAACATATGTTCAAATCATGCCTCATATTCAGTCCACCCTAACATATAACATATTTGTGGAGCAAACTCCAGCAAAGGGCAAAAGGGCAAATGTTGGCAATGGGGAAACGGGGGCTTACTTTCTGTACGCAGTTTTCAGGTACAAGTCTTAGGTGCGCTTCGAGTTCGATGCGTTTTGGAGGTATGGGTGTTGGCTTACATATAGATATCCAGAATTCAACGGCCAGGGCACATGTTTCAAGGGTCATGCAGACTCCAGTTTAAAAAAAAGAAAACCTGCTGGCAACAATACTGCTCGAAATAGCCCACATGTGCCGGCAGGAATCCACGAGCGGCACTGGGTCGCTCTCGCAACAGACTCCAAGAAATGGCAAGCCCAAATTAACCAACTCCTGGTTGATTTCTCGGGGGCGCCCCATTTAAGAGGAGAGCCTTCAATTTTGGGGGAGGTGCACCGTAATCTCGGGCAAAGCCATTCAAACTTTGTGTCAGCTGGGAAGCCTGCACATTTGTTTTAAAGTGCACCTGAAGGTCCAAATAAACCTGGCCCCTGGCTGAGCCGTTTCTTTTTTTAGTTAGAGATAGTCACTCTGCAATGGCTTGCACTTGGAAGTCGCGCAGACTCAAGTAGTTGCTGATACCCTGTTTGGGGTTTGTTTGAAGGAACATCAAACTGAGACCACTTCCGCAGTTGTACGCCAGATCCAAATGAGCAGCGCCCGAAAACCCCCTTCACTTTTTGGTTCTGCCCGACTTGTAAGGGTTTATCCATAGGCCCATTCTTTTACCCTACCAGATTTATACATACATATATATATACATATATATATATACTTATATATATATATATACATACACACACGAATTTCTGGCCATCGGTTTCGGCGGTTTTCACCCGAGGCTTCGGTGGATCTGCCTGCTGGCGCGCGAAGGCGTCCAGGTGCTTCAGCTCCCGCAGCGCCAGCTGGGGATTCCGAGGCCGCGGCGCGGGCTTTTGGCTCGTCCCCACGTGGATTTCACTTTTTTTGAAGGTTGGAGACCTCGAATGAAGGGAGCTCGACTTCTTCTTGGTATGGAATCCTCTTGAAACCCACAAACAGGGGTACACTCAAAAATAGACATGAAACCTGGAATTGGTACGAGCAAAGGGGCCCTGAGGTCGCATTCCGCCTTCAATGGAGGGCGCAATGAGGCTTAGGGTAGCTTGGATGTTTGACATTCTTCTTGGTTCGGAGTAATTTCAAGCCAAATGTGTTTCTCTTAACAAATCAAGTTTCTTCAAACCTGAGTGCTACTTGTCCAGACTACATTTGTTTTGCAATGCTCGAACATGTGGAAAGCTGAATTTATTGGCTAATATATCCGAAGAGTACACTTGGTATCCCGCTGGGTTGCCCAAAGGCTCCTGAGGTAAAAGGTCGATCACCTTTGGAAAATTCGGTCACACCAAAAACCCAGCCATGTACTGATGGGAAAAGTCCCGCAGTTGGGATGGCTGAAGCCCACCCACTGGTGCAAGATCCTTGTGACACTTGACTTGTGGAATTTCCGGGCGCTGTGAGAAAGGCCTTGGGAAGATGCCTTGCCCAAAACACCTATAAGTCGAGCGGAGACAACATAGGTATCTGGAGAAATCCCCGTGCAATGGTCTCTGGGGTGAGCAAAACACCTAACAACCGGTCCATTACTTTAAATGGCACCCAGCCCCCTCTACAGGGCAACCAAGAACAGGCGGCTTCAGGTGTTGAAGCCAACCTTCGGCTCGCAAAAGCGACCCCCGGAAATCGGATCGAGGTTGGATGGGTTTCGCCTTCTGGTCCAAATGCCCTCCCTGAACTTGTCTGTGCAGGTCCTGGCGTGCGTTTGAATTTGAGTGAAAACTCGAAATCAACATTTCGTTCTGCCAACAGCGGACATGGCCTCTGTGGGGCCAGAAGAGAATCCCAGTTCAGCCAGGAAACTCGAATGCTTCCAATTGGTTTCTGGCGCTTTGCAATGGGAAAAACAGGGCTCCCTCTGCAAACCTCAGGAAGCTCTCGCTCAAACAGTGATGTCAAGAAACGAAACCTGCGCCCTTTGGCGCTGACATGGGCGCATCCGGTGCCGTGGAAAAGTGTTCACCGTTTTGCTGGCAAGGGAATAAAGGAAAAGCAACAAGGTAAACGGATAAAAGCAGCTTGGTTCAGTCTGACAATGTTTGCAAACCCTCCCACAAGATCATTAGATCATTTCACGAACCATCAAAGTGGTTGGTGGAACGTCAGTCGCTTCGGATGGTCTGGGAGTTAGCTGCCAAGTGCTTGGTAAGCCCCTGTCAAACCCCAGCAGCTGACCCCTATAAACCCTTACTATTCAGCTAACCCCTAAAGCGTCTCAGGGAGTTGTTGTTTTTTTGTCGTGTAGCTTGGGCAATTAACCAGAACGGGGCGGCCAAAAAAAAAGATCTCCCCTTCCGGTTTGAAACAAGAAGGGCCTTTTTCTGAAATTGGGGAACCCAAAATCGTGGCTTTCTTTCAGGGATTCCGTTTCAAACCAACCAGAAAAGGGTTCTCTCAAAGGGGTGCCATTGATTGCCAAAATTCACGGGGTTGAAACTGGGACTAAGTCTAGCCTGGCTCCCTCCGCACCAAAGCACACCAACCAATCGATGGGAACCTACCACGTCTCGTTTGAAGGATAACCTTGTCGGGTTCCCCCTCAGGTCCGCCTATATTGAAAAAACACCCACGCAAAAGGATGCACTGGGGGACCCTGACCCCTCAAAGAAGCCCCAGGTAAAGTTGGGGGCTTAGTGAGCCTTCGGAAACAAGGCCCTTATTGGCCCTAATCCTTCAGGTCCAGGTGTCATTTTGGAGGTTCCCGGAAAAGAACACAAGCACAAATCGGGATGTGATAAACCAGAGCTTCCTCTGATGAGAAGACTTTTGTTGGTGGAAATACACAGTGGATTCAGCTCCCTGTCGCAGGCAGCCAGCTTTTTACTTGAATGTTTATCCCCTTGAGTTTACCGAGGGTTTCTGTTGGTGACCTACGAAAAGGGGTAATTGGATCTACACGAGGTATATGGGTTTGTCACAACTGTGGATCCCCGACTGTGCTGACTTTCCTTTGGTTTCCATTTAAACCCCCAAAAAACATACACACAAACACAGGCACACACGCGCACCCAAAAACACAAAGACACACACAGACACACAAACCCAAACACACACACAAATAAGCACAAACACAAACAAACAAACAAGCAAACAAACTAACAAACAAACAAACAAACAAAACAAAACAAAACAAAACAATCACAACAAACAAAACAAAACAAACACAACAAACAAAATAAACAAACACACAGGCAGGCAGGCAGGCAGGCAGGCAGGCAGGCAGGCAGGCAGGCAGGCAGGCAGGCAGGCAGGCAGGCAGGCACGCAGGCAGGCAGGCAGGCAGGCAGGCAGACAGACAAACAGACAACAAACAGACAGACAGACAAACAGACAGACAGACAAACAGACAGACAGACAGACAGACAGACAGACAGACAGACAGACAGACACCCAGACAGACAAACAAACAAACAAACACACACACACACACACACATGCACACACACAACAGCGCACACATAAACAAACCACACACACACAACCACAAATACACACACACACAAGCAGGCAAGCAAGCAAGCAAGCAAGCACGCACGCAAGCAAGCAACAAAGCAAGCAAGCAAGCACGCAAAACAACGCAAAACAAACCAACGCACACACACAAAACAAACAAACAAACAAGCAAACAGACAAACAAACAAAAAAACAAACAAACAAAGCAAAGCAAAGCAAAGCTAAGGAAAGCAACACAAACAGGCCCACTCCATGGTCAGCAGACGTTGTACGCTGCTGCAATCTGGTGAGCAGTGCGCTTCACTGCCTTCGCATTCTTGGACTTCATGGCTCGCGGCTGCCTCTGCTTCTGCTTCCTTCTCTAGTTCTGCGGCGGGTTGCGATGCGGCTGTAGCAAACTTGCCGAATGCTCCCTTCGAAGCCTTGCGCTTGGCAGAGTGCTGTGACTGACTGGGAGCGCCTTTGAGGCTGACTTCTCCGCCTTTGGTGAGATGCTGCTGAATGTGGTCCACTCTCACTTTTTGCAAAGCAGACTGCAGCATTGTGTCCACGCTGCGGGCGTTGCCGACAGGCCATAAGCACAAGCCAAACGGAAAAAACATGCGCTGGAGCCGCGGGGAAGGGCGAAGTTGATGCAAGCGCAACATGTGGTGCACACAAACAACCTGAGAGCAAGACAGTTCTATGTCACTCGATTCTTTTCCATATGGCTTCGGCCTGTCGAAAACTAGCTAACAGCTCCAGAGGACCCAGGCTCAAGCAGCAACGTCCGCAGCATCAGCACCATGTCTTCCGAATAGGCTGTCCAGCCTTGAAACAATATCTGAGTCGGCTCGCTGGCAGCCCATAGATTGGCATGATTGCCATGTGCTCCAAAATCAAAGTCAGCAGACGCTCCAGCGTTGCAGCTGGCTCTCGCCAGCCCGCTCCACACGCCATGCGAATTTGTTGGCGGAAGGACACAGAATGTTCCACAGCCACATCATCTGGGAGCAGTGGCTGCAAGACCATTCCCACACCCCAGACAGAGCGGCGCAAGCTATAAACCACAGTCAGGACAATGCAGACCATGCTGAAGTCTTCCTGCCCGCGGTCCTCAGGCAGCCGCCTGGCTAGATGGCATTGCAGCATCAAGGCTTCTTCCATCGACTCGAGGGGCATGTAGGTCTGGAAGCACTGATCTGGACAAACCTCTCCCAGAGAGTGTTGCAGAGAGCACCAGAAGCCAATCAGCAACTTCTGCTATCAACATGGCTACAAGGTGGCAATTAAGTTGCTTTCAATTGCATGGTGAACTGGGCGCATCTGCTGATCAAGGCTGCCAGACAAATACAAGCGGGCACAAGTGGCGTGACATGAAAATGTTCAGGATCGATCTGCCATTTGAGCGAGATGTCGACACAGTAATCATGCTCTGGGAAAACAGCAATCAGTTTTGAGGGTGTTTCCCAAAGCCCCTTCATCAGGGTGTTTCCCAAAAACCCCAGTCTAAGGTGCTTCCGAAAACGCATCCAAAGGGTGTTCCCAAAACCCAAGGCTTGTTCCAAGGGGCGTTCCCAAAACACCAGTTTAAGGCGCTTCCGAAAACGCAACGAAAGGGTCTTTTTTGAGGTGCTTTCTGAAAACTGACTCTAGGCTGTTCCCAAAACGCAAGTGTTTCCCAACAAGCCCAGTGAAGGGTATCTCCCAAAGCGGCACAAACAGCCAGACAAAAACAATAAAAGACCAAGTTTGATGGCGCGCGCACGCCCAGCAGCGGATTCTCTATGTCACGTCTGTGTGCCTTAGAGACGTCTTAATAACCAGCAGACGCGTGGTTTCCACACATCAGCTGTTGCACACATCACCTGTCGCGCTTCGCCTCTTTGACCCGCTCCATCGGGAAAGCCTCGTGATACCAGCAACGCCTTTTGCCGTCGTCAGTGCGGCGCCAAAAACTACTGCACATGAGGCGGATCTGGTCATTGCCAAGAAACAAAGCCACACTTTTTGGAAAGAAGTGGTGGCGTGCAGCCGGGCTGCTTTCCGGATCCCATGATGTGAGGCGTCAGCGCGCGCTGACATTTTGCACAGGTTCCCCATTTGTTTCGCCAGCGTGAGCGTGGTCGATTCACAGAGGTTGCTCACATTGCGCACAGCGCGCGTCCTGTAGGAACGGCTTAGGCAAAAACTAGTGTCTCTTCCAAGAAAATGTCTCTTTCCGGAGAGCTCTGAGATCGGCAACATGACTCCGCGGGCGTGCCGCAAAGCAAGTGCATGTGAGCGCGAGTGTGCTCAGTGTGTGTGTGTGCGCAGCGCTAAGAACGTGCGCTTGTGCGCCGTTGTGTGTTTGTACGCGCGTTCCTGAGCGCCCGGCCATCCTCAACCTATGTGCACGAGCGTGTGTGTGTGTTGATGCGCGCGCGCGTGAGTGCATGTCGGAAGCATGCGACCCGGAAAGGCAAAAGACGCATGATTGTGATGAACTTGTTCGCAGATGCGCGAAACCTACGCATGTGTCAAAGAAACGGGAAAAAGACAAGCCATGACTCATGTCTCTTTTCGTTCGGTCCTGGTCTAGCTCCAATCCGAGAGCATCGCCAAGCGTGCGGAACCACGCGCGAAACAACGCCAGACCCTCCAGTCTGGCCATAGTCTCCCATTTCCTCCTCATGCCCTGCAACTTCTGCATGCTCCGGCCGGATTTCCGCGCTCGGCGACGGAGAGTCCTGCAGGCTAGAACAAAAAGAGCTAAGCAGATGGAGCAAAAAGTGAGTGTCTGTGCCAATTCAGACTTCAAGAAAAGGACAAGGAGCAGCAACAAGCAGTCATATCCTCCACCTCTGACAGCAGATCCGCCACCTTGGCGCCATCTGCGTCCACTTGCCGAGCATGCCAGCTCTTGTACTTCTTGGATGCTGGCGAGTCTGTCATCACCAGTGGCGACGGCGCTTGGTTCAAGGCCATGCAAACATACAGGCCAGCAGGCGTTGGAGGGGCCCCTGGCTGAGCAGCAGCAGGAGTCTGCGGCTGCGAGACATCGGTGGCCATGGCTGGCGATTTCAAGCTGCGGCCAGGAACCGCTGCAGCAAACGTCGGGAGACAACAAACAAAGCAGAGGCGAGCACAGCACGCGAAGACAAAGAGACAGATGTCACCGTGCGACGCCAAGCCTTGACCCAAGCTCCCCACAAGAAGGGAAGGTGCAGTGCCAGACAGTCCACAGAAAGATGCCACCAGCGAGGGTCCTCCACAACGCACAGCGTCGCTGCAAGGAACGGATCTATAGGCCGGCAACTCAGACCAAGCAGCTGGTTCAAGTACTCGACGTTGATCTGAAACCACCAAATCAAATTGGGGCGGGCAAACAAAGGCGAAGAGAAGCGACACAGGCGTAGAAGTAAGACCAACGCCAATGGAAAAACGGCAAGGTC